CTCGGCTCGTAAGGCGCCGTGGACAGGGGCGATAGGCAAGCCCGCCCGCACTCGTGCATGCGGTACAGCATACCTACAGAAGTGCGCGGCGTGAATCAGCCACCTGGTACTAGGTGGCAGCAACTCCAGGAATCATGTGTGTACACCAGCCTGGGAATCCTCCGGATAAAAATTAATCTCAATCAACAGAAAACACTTAAACTAAGCGGGAAACTAGTGGAAATTTGTACAAATTAGTCGAAGTAAACGTTTTGCACCATTAGAAAACCTAAGGAATAAATGTAAGCGGACGAGAATCACTGGGGTTCAAGTATTTCGGGAGTCATGAGTAAACAACATCGAAAGGGAGTTATTGCCCCTCACACACATACAAAAAGGAAACAAAATGAACACATATGGTGCGAAAGTGACGAACACCTAGAAGGATCATATCGAAAAAGCAATTCTTATTCATACTATATCTAGTCTATGCCTCAATTGTACGCATTGTTTGCAATTGTTTGGTGCATAGGTGATGTGTATCTGAAAATGAAATGTTGCTTGGCTGCAATACGGGCTGGGATGCATAGCTGCCGTACTCACCTCCACGGGTTCCAGATGGCGGTTTTCGTGCGTCACGATGATACCTCTCACGTCCCCGTACTTGGTGCGCACGATCCTCGAGTTGAGCTGGGGCTGTGCCGGGATGGGCATTGCGGCGGGTGCGGCAGCAGGGGCGGCAGCGGGGGCGGCGGCGGGGGCGGCCGGGTCGCCGGCGCACGGCGTGGCAAGCAGCGCCATGAGCAGCGCTGCCACGCAGGGCACCAGCACGCCGGCACGCATCCTGGGCCCGCCCCCCGTCACATCCTGAAAACAAAGCCCGTTTACGATTAGAGTGCTGTTGCTGCTTGTTAACCGCTGATGATTACGTGCTTTTGTAAAACCGAACAGAAACGAAAAACTGAATAGAAAGAATGGAACTCTTTACTTGTTTGAACATTCCTATCTGAATTTACGTTTTTATAATGTTTGATAAAAACCTTCCCATCCTCTGAAAAACATTCTCTGATGGGTGAATGACGTTTTTCTTTGCAAGACTGAAAACCAAAGTATAGCCGATGAACTCATTTCATGTAGAGCTCATACCATTCGAGCGAGAGGAACGCACAAGCTTGACGCCAGGGCAACGCCAGGGGAAACGTCAGGAATCGTGACACGTCCTTTCCTCCTTCTCATACCTCGATCCCTCACTCCTCACTCCATTTGAAATTACTATATGTCCCATCTCTCTGCTCCACACCCAACACCCTCCTTCTTAGTTCCTCCCTTTACCCCTCTTCGCGGTCGTCACACCATCCCACCTCATCAAGCTCGCAGGCACTCAAACTAGTTCTCAGTTTGAAACAAAAGACCTTCCTCAACTGAATCCCGGAATTCAGTTTTCGCCGGCACGTGATGGTGTCCAACAGCCTGGTCGGGCCTGCTGCCGCAATTTGCAATCAGGCGGCTGCGAAGTCTGGCGCGGCGCGTTCACACAAAGCACACACGCACACACACACAGAGGGAAAACTCGTTTTCCAGGGGCAAGCCAAACAACTCGGAAAAGCAAAGGAAAACAAGTAGGCCCGACGAGTTTAGGAAAATCATTTATTTGCTCTCGTTGAACGAGTGACTCTGGAACTTAGAGTGATTGTTAGCTCACAGTTTGGTAATCTACTTAACAGTTTTGAATGCATCGGTTAAGAACACAACTGATTTTAAAGTGTTTTTTGATTTCAAACGCGAACAATCCTTCAAAAGGCGTAGTAAGGGTTTACGACTTTACAATTACGGTACTGCTGTCCAGTTGCACTGATGGGTCAGAGTGAGGGTGGGAAGAGGGTGGGGGGTGAGTGGTGGGGGCATAGGCCGTACCTACGTGGCCCACTTCCATGAATCAAGTTTTGGAGCACTCTCCATGGAACTATGGCTATGTGCCGTCTCCCCCACAGGCTCTTGGCACCTCGCAGAGCAGTGTGGGGTGGGGTGGTGTTATGATAGGGATGGAGGCAAAGAGGGTGGATGAGGAAGGGGAGAGGGGAATGGACAAGATATTAAAGGGGCAGCGGGGGTGGGGTCATAGGAAAGTGAGAGGAACAGCCCAGAGTCAGTTCACTCCAGCCCGTGACTCTCGGCTTCCACATCACCAAAAAATACGATCAACACCATGCAATAGCCCTGTTGTCAATGGCTAATGAAAAAAAAATGTCCTTCGAAACGAAACATTTTGGTATGGATTAGATGAGTCACTCATATTATTTATCATCCAACTGACCATGAAGAGTTTGGATAAGCACCAAAGCTATTATATCTGCCCTACCTATTGGTATGCGCCGCTCGACTCGAACACACAAACATTGTGAAATAAGTCGTGTTTTTTTTTTCACGCGGAGCCAACGAGAGCCGCATTCCGCGCGCCATGTAGTGCATGCACCTTGCCATCTTTGGCAGAGTTATGACGTCATATCTCCCGTTTGCGACCATGCGAATAATGAGGGTGGAGGGGACGGGCGGGCCGGCAGCGGGACGGCAGCAGGAAGTGTACCTAATGCGCAATGCAGATTGGAAGCGCTTCCGCAGATGGAGTTTTATGCTCCGCGCCGGCACTGCTCGGCCGGGCTGGCCACGGGGACCTCGTCGTTGGGCATCAGTCCTGGTTTGGTTCCTCTAGCCCCGACAACACACACGAGCCTTTTGCTGCCTTCGTCGGAACGGCGTGAAACGCGTGTACTACAACAACCCAGCAAAGACAAAAGCATCTGGTACAAAGAAAACCATTCGTGCGATCTTTCCCTTGCAAGAAATTGGCCGATGACAACTCGAGAAAGGGAGGGGAAACAACTCGAAAACACGGGGAAAAAAACGCCTTCGCGGTAGCGTGACTACCGCAAGCGTGGTTCCACTGAATTGTCCCATGCATGCGGCACGGCCATACAAAGTAAACCGCCGTTGTCGGTTGCTTTGTTGTTGTTTTTTCTCTACGTTGGGGATAACAACGTCCTCTGGTCGTGCGGACGGACCGGGCAACGGCTGCCCCGCGCCCGCGCCCTGCTGACACGTCCTGCGAGTAGACTAAGGGCGCCGTCAAACATTTTTTACGTAATTGCATATGAACGCAAACTCGGTGTATACAGCAGTCAAAGTAACACATTTTCCGAAACATCGGAGCATGTGTTCCAGTTTTACCGAAGTCAAATAACTCTCCACCTGTTTCGATTGCGCGTCCTGTATTTACTGAGGGGGCCAGGCCCAGCCCAGCCCACCTTTACGTGCAAAGCCGCGTAAAGAGTCAGCGGAGTGGACTGTTGATCGAGAGAGGGGTGGGAGGTTTAACTGGGTGAGATGGAAAAGGGGTAGAAATGTGTAGGGGAGAGCAGCGGAGAGAGGGCGGGGACTGTGAAATGAGCGTTCAGTTGTTGGCTGTGCGGGGGGATGAATTGTAAGGAAGAGGTGGAGGGTGGACTGACAGCCCACGCGGGCCGTGGGCCTTCAGCAAACTGGACGACCCCCGGCGGCCTCCGCCGCGCACGTATCAAAATATGTAAATATTATATCTGGCAGGCCACACGCACAGCCGAGCCGCACAGCATCGGCACCGACGGGCCGGCGGCTCGCGCGGCGGCCGACTCGCGGACGCAAAACAAGGAGACGGCGAAGAAAAATGGTGGACGCTATCAGATTTATTACCACGTCGCATTTTATTGCACCGGTTTATTCCCGGCCGCATAAGAAGACATTACAGCGCGAGGATATGAGAAAGAAACAGAGGATCGTCATGGAGCAGCCCACACGGAGGGGGTAGGGGTGGTGCTAGGGCGGAGGGGGTGGGAGAGGAAGTGTGCGGGGGGAGAGACGGAGAGACGACGTGGCGAGAAATAGGAAAGGCGGCGGACTTGTTCCTAAGCAATGGACCGGCTCACGACGGTGACGGTACCCAACAATTTCGTGGAATTCATAGTCGTTACTTTTGACATTAAAACAAGTTAAACCTGCCAAATGCAACTATGATTTTATGGTAAACATGTGCTTAAACCCGGTGTTACTGTTAAATAGCAAATTATTAACTAATTTTTAAATCAGAAAACGGCTAAACTGTATTCACAAAGCACCAAGCAACCCTGCGAACAACCCCTGGTATATATATTTCTGTTGGACCGAGTGTTATTCTCACACACTCTTTGCCGCTGCAGCCGGATGCAAAGAGAAGACAAGTGGTGTGGCGGGCGGGTTGCTGGGGGTGGTCTCCGGACCAGCCAAGTGTGAATGATCAAAGCGACGAGTGTGAAAGAGAGAGGCGCCGAGTATAAGACAGCTAAAACCAGAAGGGGGGAGGGGGGGGGGGTAACCGCACGAGCAGACTAAAGCCCAGCGCCACCACCCCCGCCCACGGCGCGCCCTCCCCTTCGTCTCCAATCCCACGAATCGCTTCCTTCCCTTGCAGAGTCGTCAGCCTCTGGCGGTAAGGCCCCCCGCAAGATAGCGCGCGGCGGGTGGCGTGGCGTGGCGTGGCGTGCGGCTGAGAGGCGCGAGTCCTCTCCTTTTGCAGTGCACCCCTCCGTGACCATATCCCGGCTCGGCCCGCCCCTGCACGACGTTTACAACCCCACC